GTTCGAAGAAACTATGAAAAATTCGAATGCGCATGCGCACCAGGTACGTACAACAGCAATCATCGCACATGTGTATTATTGGTTTTGATTTTTCAGATTTCAGGGGGCTTGGTTGTTCAGTCGGATGGAATATTACCAGCACAGTTGCGATTTTAAGGAGAAGTTTAATTTTAACCCTCGGAATGCTGTTTATCCGAGTCCGTTATTGAAAAACTTGCAGATAAACGGCTTTACCCCAAGCGGTTAGTGCTTATCCGCCTTGCGAGCTTAAATTTAAAGAAAGACAAATCACACAATATACACAGTTTTCGATCCGAACGTAATATATTTCAATAATCCTGGCACAAAAAAATAATCAAATAGAACATCATGCTTTACTGAGATACACAGTAATAAATAATGTAAAACATGACAGTAGAAAAAAGGAATGAAAAATGCTGCTGCGTGCACTGGAGTTCATAAATTTTACACAATATTTAACCAGTATCAAAATAAATTAAGTTAATACCATGACTTACAATATTGTTTGGCATATTCTCTGTTACACTGAAAATGAAAGGATTCATGATTCATGAATGGCACTACTTTACAAATTGCAGCGCGAAAAAAATAATGATAATATCTTACACATTATTGCACAAACTGAAGGCGGCCAGCTATTCTGTTATTGCGACACCAGGCCTTGACAAACTGTTACTGTTACCGTGTTTATTTAGTAGTTTATTTTTGCATTTATTATAAGTAAGTCCCAAATGTCACATCATTCTGCATTGTACAGAAATGCCATCAGCAGTATTACCGCTCCTTCAATGTAAACACACCATTTGATTAATTTATTAGTACCAGACTTCGGGTTAATTTAGCTGTCGCGATCTACATATTCATATTTCGACTACCTATCGCTCTGTGCAAGTATGCGCACAATAAATAGTATATTATTATTGTAATAATACAAAAAAATAAGAACGATATTTGAGTTGTCGCCAGAATGTACACGTCATATTGCAATTTGATTATCACAAAATCAAAACACTTCATTAAAATAAAAAAACATGCTAGCTACTGTGAGATTAAGAAATTGCCAGTGAACTTGAACGAAACTTTAGTGCGAGTGCGCGACACAAACCTAAGCTGACAATGTCAATTGCGGATTAGTCAAACAAAATCTAACGCTTATTAAGGCAAGTAGGAGTTATGATAGACCATTTGCGAATTTCGGTGTCACGTGATATACTTGTCCGAGTACATCACAACCTCTGCCATTTTGTTCACCCTAGAGTATAGCTCGTCGTGTTGACAGCTACAATATTCCTCTAAATGTGTATCTACCTCGCAACTTGGCGATGGTTGTTATATTTGAAGTCGCTCGCTACAAATGTTGTATTTAGGTGGTATACACAAGACCGTGACCGTGCACGTCGTGAATCAATTGCGAACGAGTTTCTGTTGTAATCGGCCTGAATATCGCGCGCACCAGAAACCCGCAAATTGGGTATTGGGCATGCGCAGTCTGTTCACTGCATGTTTCGTTTATTGTAATTAAGGCATGCAAGTATACGGTGGAGCAAGGTTATAAAAACACTCCAAAAAAAGGCTCGAATTCATTGTACATGGTGGAAAGGATGAGAAATGTAATACGTGCCAGCCAGTCACCTGTATTAGGAACACGTCCGTGTGTATGCCATTCAGAATGTACATTTACGGCAATAATCCGGGTCGGTTATGGAGTTGTGACAAAATGTTCCGGCTCTTCGTCGAATCTATCGTCGTATGAGACATCAGATGATTTTCGTTTCCCGCTTTTCTTTTTATTACCATACTGCGTTGGCATCAACACGGCCATGATGTCCAATTTAGGTATAGGTTTCAGTAGAATCCGCTCCTCTTCTTCATCCGGGACATGGTACATATATTTCCGGGCTTCTTTGCTGTGACGTAGGCCATAAAGAAAATAAATACTCAGACCTGTGGAAGAGATAACATGATGTAAATTCGTCGCCCTTTAACATATACAATTTAGACACATTAAACTGTTGAAAAAGTTTAGACTCATAATCCGTCAAGTGAATGTTGATCTCGATCAATACTACGTCTTACCTGCCATCAGCCATATTACAAACTGCAGCCATGCCTTACGGGGAACTGACACCAGGAGATATATATTTGTGAAGAGCGCCACTGCCGGTAACCAGGGCATCAGGGGTACCTCGAATGCGAAATCTTTCTTGTTCTTGCGCTGTGGCTGCCTAGCGATCATTACTATAGCAACGAGAGATAATAACCCAAATACACATACGTTGGTAATCACCCATGGGTTGCTATCAAGTAAATATTCGAAGAAAAAACTTATAATAAATGAGAGGGCAAGAAGCCAAACGTAAAGCAGAGAAACAGACCAGTAGACAACTTTTCCGGTTAGTTTCGTTGGCTTTTTGAAACGTTTCCTGGAACTGAAAGGCCCTTCTATGTTCGTCAACGCGGCAACACGAAGTTTTTCTTTGTATTCCTCAACAATAGAATCAATATCACTTTCATCCCCTGTGTCAGAAGATAATGAAGTGACGTCAGAGTCTTTGCTTCTGTCCTCGTTCGAGGACTTATTTTCAATTTCGTGCAAATGTTCATGATGTCCATTGGATTTAATCGTGTTGTCAAACTCTGTGCCGCTCCAACTTTTAGCTGACGTCATCATTTTGTCGTACTTTTTTACGCTTGGCGTAAATTTTCTATTTTCTTTCATCGAGATATCTTCCTCTTCCAGCGTCGCATCCGACAAATGTTTAGAGTCAGGTTGGTAACGCAGTGTAATTACGCATGCGCAGACAATACTGTAAATGGACAAGGTACAGAGAGCAAGGAGCTGCACGAGGTCTTTCAACTTAAAACAAAGAGCAAGAGTTCCAGATAATATTCCAACAGCGAGCATAGAGTAAACTGGCACATCTGTCTGGCTGTAGGCGGAGCCAAGGAATCTGAATAACAGTCCATCCCTTGCCATGGCGGTCACAACGCCAATAAAAGGAAGAAGAAACCCGAACAAAGCGATGGAAACGCCCACAATTGTCCCAATTCCTGTAATAAATTTGGCAAAGTTCACAGCACGAAACCCGAATGCACCAGGCAGCGGCGCAATCGGATCAATCAAATTGTAGGGCGCCACTAGCGTCATAATCAAGACAACTCCTATGATGGTTGTTAGACACATCAGTGTAACTATGGAAATGGATCCTATTATACTTCGTCGAGGGTTTTGAGATTTCTTGCCAGCTGTTCCGATAATATCGAACCCAAGAAATGCAAAGAAACAGCAGGCTGCTGCTGTAAAGACCTGAGAAAACAAAAATATACAGTTAATCAGATTGAACGCCACTCTGGCACACACTGGCACGGGGCTGAAACATCCTCTACTTAAAATAACACAATAGCTATGGAATATAATTAGCATTAATCACATAATTAATAAATTATATATTTCCGTGTGTATCCCAATTTATTATTATTTTGGTTTATATTTGACTTTTTTTTTTATAATTATCGACCGAGTCATGATGATCAGAAAATTGACAAAACTGCAAATAAAACCAAAATAGCATGTACGTAAGAAAAAATAAGAATAAATAAACAAGGCAATTACATAAAACATGAAACGAAATAATATGAAGTATTATTCTATTAGTAGTAGGACAGCCTATCAACACGAGGGGTTTACAGCGATATACTGTTTGTTTGCTCTGTTGAAAGTTACCCCCCCCCTTTTTTTCACACACACACGCAAATATATACAGACAGACTTGCGTTGATGGGCACAGCGATTGATTTATCGCTATATGATGTAACTTGTATGTTGTTTACTTTGCATCAGCTTGCAGATCCGCAAAACTTCGAGAGCGTACGTGCTTAATCAACGTGTCACCTAGTTTCGAATTCAAATTCAACTATATGTATAAATCGCACTAGTAACCAAAAGCAACCAGAGCCTCAACTGTTCAAACTAATTTGAATTTGATTCAAGTTGTTTGATTGAAGTTTTGTTTTCAAAAATGCTAACTAACACTCATATCAAAATGGATAAGGGAAATATTAATTGGAATTGGAAAACAATCTGAATATATTGGTAAATTAAAATGCAAATCTAGAACAAAATACTAGTTAGCGACGTCAAAAAAAAATCTGCTGGTCAGCTGTGAGTAAATATAGTTTAATGCTTAATGTTGCAACGCTAAAATATTTGAAACTATTAAGTCAACATCACTATGTAACCGTCGTGTTTATTATCCATTGAGTGAAGCCTACAGCTGCTGCGCATGCGCTTACCTAAGTTACTAATTACGAGACGGCGAAGCGACATATGTGAAAAAGGAAATTATAATAAAAAATAACTTGAACTAAATGTTGAAAATAATGTAACACAATAAAAAAATTAAGATTTCAAGTAGGGGAAAAAATTAAGCGTCTCCGGTGGGACTCGAACCCACAGCCTCCGAATATCATTAACAACTAGAAGTCCGACGCGCTATCCATTGCGCCACGGAGACACACTAAATGATCTATCGCTTTTATTGTATATACACCATGAATGTGTACAGTGTTCAACGTACTATGCACATTTTATATGCATTAGCATATTGTATTTGCGTGTAGACTATTTTGTTTTGTCTCAATTCTTTCTTAATTTCAATAGCCTGCTGGACGTACAGTACAGTACAGTACAGTCCAGCCTCTACTTACCTACCTACCGACCGACTGACCGAGAATAACGGTGATCACACGCCGGCGGCACAACGGTTCAACCTCCTTTCTTGCCAGTTTAGTCCCGGTGGGACCCGGCACGAGAAACAACAAGAAACCTCGGACTGGAGACGTGTACTGTCTACTGAAAGCGGTAGACAGCGGACCCAACGCGGCGCACTCTTTTGCCAGCGGCCGCGCCATTGATTACGACGGAGTCGGACCTTTCACATTGGATCATTGGTTTTGTCATTGGAAAAGTACATTCTACGAGCGTGACGCTTGCTCCAACTCTCCCGGGGGGGGGGGAGCACTCCGCTTTAATTTTACCCCCAAGAAAGTTGTGTTAGTGACTAGTAATTCAGGTTCCTTTCTAGCAAAAAATAGTAAATTGTCATTGTTTTTAGCGTGATCGCGAAACCCCTGTAACCGTGAAAGGAGGCGTTCGCGATAATGCGAATTGACAATTCTTTTTTTTTCACAAAACAAATGTCCCGACTTTCCTAGTCTAGTTCCATTCGCGGACATGCCATGAACAGTTTGGTTACAAGTTGATATAACGACAAGTCATAATAGTTACCAGGTGCACGTCAAGTGATTTGGAGATAATTACATTATTTTTGACCGAGTGATGGCAATTTCAGTCGACAAAAATGGTGAACGTGTCATCAATCATTTTTTCAGAGATGCCTGGGCTAATTTCTTTCAAACATAGTATGAAGGTTGTATATATTAGCTTATAGTTCCCATAATTTTTTCGTATTGCGATTCAAAATGGCCGACTGGTGGCAATTTTTTTTTTCAGTTTTGTACGTATGCAGTCATTGCTGTGATATGTTATGGCAGATTTGGTTCTTAGTTGATACAAGACCTAGTATCCTCAGTTTGTAAAGTAATTTGTGGATTTGATCATTTTGCTATGCAAATTTAACGCAGAATAATGTTTGCAAAGTAGCAAGGTGTAATATTAGATGAACGACCTTACTAAAATAGGTAATTATATGTTCTTGATGAGAACAAAGAATAGTATTGAGAGTTAAATAACATGCTGGAACGTAACATTTTCGGTGGTGCTGTAAAATAGTGTACAGCAACATTTTTTAACTCTAGTATCAAGTTTGGACAAACAGATTATTAGCTTAGACAATGATAATCAAATCCTTCTTAAAATAGTTTCCTGAGAAATTGTGATTCACTCTACATGTATAATATGTCCTGTACTGTTCTCTCCTCAATTTGACATCATAAAAAGCAGGGTTGAAAGAAACGGACGGGGACTATTTCATTTGATGTCATGTCATGATTTGTTAAATATAAAAAATGCCCCTCCCACAATGTCAACACATTAACGTTAATTAAGCAGAATATGGCGCTAGCTCAGCACATTAAAATGATGACATAATTTGGGAAAGCCCTGAGAAAACGTGCCACGGTCGTTAAAGTTCTGCTACTGAGAAGCCTGAAAAAAGAGGTATTTTATAAGTATATCGGCAATTTATTATACCCCTAAACATGTCCTGTCATAATATTTTCCCTTTAATTATATTTTTTCGGCGAACCTCGTTCGAGTCCCTTTATGGTTTTGTTGGTGCCAGTTCATCTCTGGCCACGACCATCCTAGAGCAGACAACGTGTTTTCTGGCTTCATTGTATGCATAATATTTGTTGTTTCGGTCAAAACCGGTGTGATTGGACGGGTTTTCATAATTCTTTGATATAAATACATATATTGAATTATTTTGACATGTTATACTCGACTTACCCCTCCTTGACCTTCTGGGAAATAACCATCATTCTGAAACCAGTTTTCGGAGTTGGCGTAGAAACATCCCACGCCAACTGTGAACAGAACTACTGCAATGTTCGTCACAGTAATCACGTCCAGACAACGAACTGTCTGTTTTAATCCAACAACTGTTAAGAGTATTGCTATGGCGACGATGATAAGAGCGAGAAAGTCGGGCGTTGAGTCGAAATAAGTAAGCTCCCCAATGGTGGTGAGAACGTTGTTTCGAATCGGGTTTCCGAGGAGGTAATCGAACGTACCACTGACTACTTGTGCGTTCATTGCCGTCACACTGCTGTACATCAGGATTAGCCACCATCCGACGATGAAGGCGAAAAACTCGCCAACAAGTATGTAAGTGTACACGTATACGCTGGATAAGCTTTCAGGAATCTGTGCTGAAAACTCTGCATAGCAAAGACCTGCAAAAATAACGTACAATACACCTTTCCTGTAAGTCGCGCCCCCAAGCGACGAAGTGATTCTGTGACGTAGATAGGTGAAAACAATGTCGTACAAAGCGACAACAGGGGCGGCGGCACGAAATTTTGCATGGGGGCTTTGAGATCTGCTCGCCATCCATTTTGAGATCTAGACCCTCTGAAACGCTATTTTCTGCATTTTGAGGGACAAATTTTGCTGATACAACGGGTTTCAGCTTGATGAGGGGGGTGCCGCCGCCACTAGACAACTGTGATTCGTTCTGTAGTCGTTCGTCAGTTAGAAATTATCTCTCTCAAAAACATTAAATTGACGTCCGACTACAGATCAAACATTAACGGCGCTGTGAAAAGTCTACCGATCTACGTCACAAAGCAATTCGTCACTTGGGGCGCGATTTATAAGAAAATATATAGGAAAGACTCGTATCATATCAGGCTGGTCGGTCTGTTCAGGTCGCTATGAGGCTGCAACACATTTGTTTGTGTGATATTGAGCAGCCACCTGTCACGTGGCTATTTGCATATATGTGTTTATATAACTCATTATTGTATTGGCAAGAATAAACTACCACCGAAAAAAAAACAATAACGCAAGAATGTAAAGCATCTGCTCACCGTAGTGTTAAAGCGCGGTGGTCGTCGCGCAGCGCGTGTTCGAATTTCGTGTAAACAAACAATGCATTTTACACACGTTGTATACGTCGCTATGAGTCCCATATCGAACTACCCCAGACCATTCGTCCCGGTGTTATCGCTATCGCCACACGAGACTCCAGCTTGTCTCCTATACAATTTTCCTTCCGCCCACTTAATTTTAATATTCATATGACCTTTGCACTGACATCGATAGCCAATCGCATTCGACCGCGGACGTCACTCTAAATAAACAACTGAATAAATTAATATACCATATTTGGAAGATAGCGGGTAAATTCAACGTTGTTGGTGTGTTCCTTCGGGTTCCGAAGTCGCACGAAACGAGTTCATGTTCCGTTATCTTTCGCAAGTAAAACAGGTCGATATGTATTAAACATGGCATTTGTTTTCTTGTTTTAACCTCCTTATTACGCAAGCTTCCGTCGAAGTGGTGTTTTTTT